AAGTCGTATCGCTTGCGGTCTTATTTCAGTGAGCTGTATAAAAGATATGTTTGATTAACGCCGAGGATTTCGAAGCAACTGAAGACGCGTGTGTTCGTAGATACCGACGGACATTGTTTTATATAACCGGAGAATCTTTAGTGAGGTAAGCATATAGCATTTATTTACATCGTCCAAGTTTATTGTCTAAATAACAGATATTTTTTGTTTGCCCCAGTAGGTAGCGAAACTCTATTAGAAAGGTTGTTTGAATTAATTCTATGTAGAATTCTAAGCGGAATGTTCCAATAGACGCGAGTGTGTGCCGTGTGATCATATGTGATGGCTACGGCTTCATGATATTAGAAATACGAGGGCGATGTCATGAGGAGCATATTGTTAAAATATCAAGCCCTAAATGGGATATAATAGGTTTTATGACTTGAAAATTATATTCAAAAACTGTTTTATTAAAAAACTGGTCTAATTTGAGGAACCTAGGAACAATATGGAAGGATGTGAGATTATTCTGCTCTGACAGATAGACCGATCAGGCAGTTATTGTTTGACACAATATCTGTTAGAATTCATAGGTTTATGGGAATGGATACGAATACTGTTAGAATTCACATGTTTCTCTCTAACCTTGTTTTTTTATATGTTTCATATATAATCGTCTACATGCACTAAAGTTAAAAGAACTAAACATTTCGCTAAACACACTAATTGGAAGAATAAATAACAGATAAATATGATATTTTATAAGGACAAATAGTCAGTAGAAACATGAGGCAATCGCAGATATCGAGTCAAATATAGTGGCCTATATATTTACTTATTTAATTGTATATTTCAGTAAGTATATTGTATTGCGATACATTGGTGCATTCTTGATGTTCTGGTGTATTGTTACACGCTTGTATTATTTATAAATACAGTTAATATAGTGCACCACAATTAAAAGTTTGCCGTTAAACCGTTAAGTTTTAAAGATACTCCAACGGTGTAGCTTTTGGTTTTAGGTTTATCGCGCAATTTTAGAAGAAATAAGCTCTCAAAATAGACATGTGTTATAGCTATAGAAATTAAACAATTATAAGCGTAACAAAGATATGCACATGCTGACATTACTCATGTTTAAGCACAAATACTACCGGTACGTGTAATTATGGTTTTCAACCCGCAGTATGAAATATTCAATGCTTAGCTGGCTTTCGTTCCACGGCCGCGGTAACACAATACGCGGATGTACGCAATAGGCGGATGTATTACCGCAATAACTATATATAAATTGTAATACATTGTAACATTCGGAGATATGCTATCACAGTATCACTTTATAAAAATTTACATTTATAAACAAGCGATCATGCCTAGTATTACTAATGATAATTGATAATGCGCGCACTGAGTGGGTCACTTCCATAAGTACTACCCGGTACAAACTGAGAAAGGAGTAAAATACATTTTGACTTTTAAATTTTGACGAACCGTGGAAACGAAAATAATAAATTACGGTTGACCCATGCAATTATCTACATGCAAATGTAACAAAAATAATTTGTAAATAAAACACAGTAACATAACATAAAGTGTAGCATGACTGTAAAGCCGTTATTGGGTTAGTAGCCTATGGTGGGCGACAATCCCCCTCCGAAAATCGTTGATAACACAGTATATTATTCTCATCATCACAACAAAATCCTATCAACTGATTTCCTACTGCACGGGCGTCTTTGTTCGCTCTAACTCGGGCAGTCGTACACGGAGAGAAACCCTGTCTACAGGAAGCCTCCAAATATAGTGACCATAATATCGTATAGTGGCTGCATTGACCCCGTTTTTTATACATATAGCGCACGAGTAATCGCAACATTACAGCCCGGGTAACACAAAGGGTGCCCTATAAAACTGACCGTCTCGTGTAGTAGTTCAAAAGCTCAACTGGGATTCCCCGTGCGAGACCGACACAATTAAACTGCTTGTCATAACACAATCCGGTCGGGACTAATCCGCGTATACGGAGCGATAACAGTAGCTATAGCAGCAGCAGCAGCAGCAGCAGCAGCAGCAGCAGCAGCAGCAGCAGCAGCAGTACCTGACGTGCGTGGTCCCCGCCCCGCGCACCGCGACGCGTGTTGCACATTGCCCCAGATCTCATTGACTAACGCTGAACGGTCGCTTCCTCCATTCCCGGAAACGAACAACAATTATAATAACACGATCAGTGTGATGACGACGAGCTGTAGGTGTGAACCAAATACTCTGACAATAATGAGAATGCATAATTGCGACGAAGGAAGTGACCGGAGAAGAAGAAAAGAAAACAGAAAGACGAAAGAAGGAAGATAATTAGTATTTTTAAGATTACGCGAATCTTGTGCGCTATTAATAACTATTACCAGTTCTTTCGTCCCTGTGCTGTCTACCGCAACGGTGCATTATCTCCATATCGTACAACGTTCCATATGTGAAGAAACGAACAAAATTATTTAATTGTTTAATGACGTATTGTAATGTATGAACTAAATACGCATCTGTTACGGTCGTGTTAAAATCGTTAAAATGCATCGAATGTACATACACGCACATACACGCACGCACGCACACGTACACGCACACTAAAACGCAACTAAAAACGCGTACTATTAACGTTTTATAACTCGTTCATTTCGTTTTATTACTGTCATGTCCTATATAGGCCTGATTTCTATTTTGATTTTAGGCAACAATGGCTGCCAGGAACAAGGGAACGCTCATAATATGTGGATTATTTCTGCACGTGGTAAACATAACATTACCATACGTCACTTATACTTGAAAGCTACCCTCGCGATATAAATACAATATTATCAAGAGTACATAATAGAGATCTATCATAGAGTAGATGTATCATAGATGTATAATAGAGATCTCTATTATGTACTCTTGATATTATTAAGATATATAAAAAGTAGGTTTGGGGGAGAAAGTTTAATAATGCATAATAAATTGGGACTCTTCATTCATTCGGGGAGATATACGAGAATGTGCGTTGTCTGTAATTTTATATCTTTCAGATTGTTTGCGTCACGATCCCTGTGAGCGAGAACAGATTTAGTGCAAAGGTAAAACACGAGTATAAGCACTGAAAATAAAATCTGGATCTGCCAGACTGGATATATATCCGCGTTTTATCTGATTTCTTCCCACCGTGCGTCTTGCAGGCTGATGAAATGTCAGTCAGATCGCGTTAGCTTGTAGTGATGTTCAGCCATGACCAGACTCGTTCAGGTCCCGGAAAATAACATACAATATTCATCAGTCTAATCCGATGAGATCCGCCAAGCCGTAAAACAGATATTAGATATGTTATGAGAAAATATGTATATATCACAAATTCACAATATAAGGATCAACATAATAATCATTGTTATGCTACTCCTGTTTATCAGCTTTATTATGTTACCTTTGTTTATTATTTTATTATGTATATAATATCAGGAGAGAATCATAATAGACTATATAGACTAGACCTAGAGTCTAGTCCTAGAGTCAAGTCCTAGAGTCTAAACCTAGACTAGACCTAGACTAATAATCTATTCACACCTGATAATATTCATCCTGACGGTATGACATCAACGCTTCCAGTTACTTACATGTGCACTTACTAATCTTCATAGCATTATTATTATCATTATATTTTATCTAATTTAGACTAACTCTTGTCGTTGCTGGCAGGGGTCCATTCATCACGTAGTCCAATCAGACGCGCCGCCACCGCCCACAGATATTGACTTTAACGATGACGACCGCCGCGTGTTCCATCTCAGCGTGCCGCCGCGGGAGCAGGGCGGCAAGGACGGCGGCGGTACGGCCAGCACGCCACCCGTCGACCCTTACGATGCCAACCCGCGACTGGGCATCGTTACTTTCGTCGAGAATGGACAGAACAAAATAGGCAAGCAGAATGGCACGAACGAACACCGGCAGAATGCCGGCGGGTCGCACACACGCGGCATGTACAGCGGGTCGTACGGAGGTATGCCAGCGGAGAGCAATCCCCACTCATCACGTACAGACAGCAACTCTCCACGTAGAAACGGCCCTCCTTTCGCGAATCGAGGCAGGAAACCGACGCACAGGGGCCCGTCAGATGGCGCCAGCGATGTATTCTACGGGAGCTATTTTAACATCAACGACAAGGATAACCTCGGTCCGGTATCGATCATAACAAACCCGCGCCCAGGCGACACCAGTAGTGGCTCCCGGGAGAAATCGCCACCTGCTTCGAGACAGGGTTCCTCCAGGGAAGAATCCAGAGGCGCGGGGTTCCGCACAAAGATGTCAAAAACCGGAATCCGGTCCAACCAGGCAGACAGCAGAGGAGCACGCCCCGAGAACATAGAGAGGGAAGACTCGGACGAGGCGCAGCCAGGCGAGGCCAAGGTCTCGAGAAAAAATTCCAATGTTGCCGATAGTGATCCGCGTGGTTACTTTGAAGAGGGACTGTACCCAGGAAGAGACGTGCCCTACCCAGGAAGAGACCGGCCTTTTCGTGGCAGAGAGGGGCCCTACCCAGGTGGGGAAAGACCATATCAGGGCGAGGAGGAAGGGCCCTATCCAGGTGGGGAAAGGCCATTCTTGGGAAGGGATGAGCCATATTCAGGGAGGGAGGGGCCATTTCCGGGACGAGAAGGCCCATTCCCAGGTAGAGACGGGCCATATCCTGGTATGGAAAGACCGTATCCAGGTGGGGAAAGACCGTATCCAGGTGGGGAAAGACCGTTTCCGGGAAGGGAAGAACCATACCCAGGGCGGGAGGGGCCATTCCCAGGGCGGGAGGGGCCATTCCCAGGACGGGACGGGCCATATCTGGGTGGGGAAGGGCCATACCCAGGTAAGGACGGGCCATATCCGGGTGGGGAAGGGCCATATCCAGGTAGGGACGGGCCATATCCGGGTGGGGAAGAACCATATCCAGGTGGGAAAAGGCCATATCAGGGTGGGGAAGGGCCATTCCCTGGGAGAGAGGAGCCTTACCCAGGAAGGGAAGAACCATTCCTAGCCAGAGAAGGGCCACACTCAAATAGAGAGGGCCCATACCCAGTGGGTGAACGGCATTTCTCGGGTGGCCCACCTCCTGGAGATGAGAGGGGTCCCCACTTTCAAGGCGGGCTGCCAGAACAACGTCCATATTTCCGGGATAAGGAACAGCCTGTGGGTGGAGGCCCGCGAGAGGGACCCTATCCGATAGACGAAGAAACATATCGTGGTAAACCATACGGACAAGGCGGCCAACGTCCGGACGACAGGACTCGGTATTCGGGCAAGGGCATCACCGTCAACGACCGGCGGGATCGGGAGCAACATCCCGGAGACGAGAGAGGGAGCCACCGTGAGCCTGCAGGGAGACCTGACGATAGAGCGCGCTATCCGCCGGAAGGGGAAAGACCACCATTTTACGGAGGCCCGCCGGGAGACCGCGATAATGGATTCGAAACGATATTAGGCGGTCATAATCCTGACGAGGATGGGAAAGATCCGTTAGATGGCTACGCGTATGACGGGCCCCGAAATAACGTGCATCAAGGCAGCGTCTATCCTGGTACGTATTTGTCATGTTTGCCATGCCTTCATTCTAAAATATGTTGATGTTTTTGCTATTATTTAGTTTCTTGAATGCCAGATATATGTAGTTTAGGTAGTTGCTAGCGTGCTGTAAATAGTACCACTGCATTCCTCATCTTTGAAAATGTAGGATTAGCCACCGGAATCAAGATTCTAGGTGGTCTAGAACCTGAGCTACCTCCATTCTAATCGCAATGTCGCGGTGGTCGTACTATGAGTGGTGACAAGGGTGTGCGTGTGGTGGTGGCTGTTGGTGCAGGTGCTGATGTGGTGGTGATGGTGGTGATGGTGGAGGCGGCGTCGTCGAAGGCATCGTCATCATCATTTTCGTCGTCGTTGACGTTATTAATTGTTACATTGTCGACATCATCATCGTAATCGCCATCGTCATCATTATCGTCGACGTCGTCATCCCTATATATCGTCCCAGTAGCAGTACACTAACTAGCAGTACACTAACTAGCAGTACACTAACTAGCAGTACACTGCTACTAGGACTGCACAGCAGTACACTGCTACTAGGACTGCACAGCAGTACGCTAAAGCTTGATATAACTTCAACACACAGGTAGGGACTCCCCCCAGTATGGCGACAGTTACGACATAGGCGGCAGTTCCGGACGAGGACGCGATGGTTACCGTGAAGACCGGCGGGGAGGCAGCGGCTACACTGACCCGTACAAGGGCGGCTCGTCGCGGGGCTACGTAGACTATACAGGCAACCACGTCGGAAAGGTCACAGGTAGTGTGTCCGCGGGTGTGTGTGTGTGCGTGTGTGCGCGCGCGTGCGTGCGTGCGTGTGCGTGCGTGCGTGCGTGCGTGTGCGTGCGTGCGTGTGTGTTTGTGTGCGTGCGTGCGTGCGTGCGTGCCTGTATGAGAAAATACGGCTTCTCTAACGACACAGGCCGATGCCACTGGTTTTGACAAATGAAGCCATAATTCTGTTATAGAGTTTAGTTTTAATATTAGTTTGGTAGGTAGAGTCAACACTCTGTTGTATATCCCGACGTACGTATAGCGTATTACCTGAACTATATACCCGCTACTTAGTTAGCGGAAATTCTCGTTGATGCTATAGTCTGCCTGTGAGCTCGTATGTTTAAAAAGCACGTTTATAAGATCAGATAAAAAATTAAGATCAGTCATTGGGAGAAATCATTAAGGAAGTTTCCACTCACTCAGTTGTAGTCGCTTATTGCGAGGTTAATCACTGATGTCGCGTGTTCAACACCCCTTCTTTGTATAAATCCATGGTGGTAGAAGCTACATTCGGCATGAGGCGTGATAACTTTCACCTCTTCAGGTGATCATTCCTGACCAGCAGTTCTTAACCTTTTTGTGTCATGCACTCCTTTGAGAATCTGATGAAAGCTACGGACCCCTCCCCAGAAAAATGCACATGAACACAAAATTTTGCATGCGCCTGGTTCACGGACCCCTTGAAGCCCATCACATTAACGGGGACCATGGACCACAGGTTAAGAACCCCTGCATGCTCTAGACAGTCCCCTGTAAATTCCGTATCTGCGGGTCATTCACTGTCTGCCCGCGTCCGTGCATGCATCTAGGTATTAACGTAGAGTGCAAACACGGAGACTATACCAAGTCGATGCACATCACGATTACGTTCGACGGCGTCTTTGACGGAAAGGTCTACGCTAAGGGTTACTACGACATCCCGCACTGCTCGGCTTACGGCACAGGTGCTGATTACGTCACGCTCGTGCTACCGCTAGACGGCTGTGGCATGGAAGAGATAACGGTAAGCACTCATGCACTATAAATGCCCCTATGGGCTTCTCCTAGCTCCTATATATAGCTCATTTATAGCGCCTATATATAGCTCATATATAACTCCTATATATAGCTCATATATATAGCTCATGTATAGCTCCTATATATAGCTCATATATCATATATAGCTCCTATATATATATCAGGAGTAGATAATAGGGATATGGTTCTTCATCTCAATATATCTGCTCGAAAAAACAACGAACGAACAACAGAAAAAAAGAAAAATTACGACAACATATCGCCCCATGACGACGATAACACCAACAACAACATCATCATCACTAACAACAACAACATCAAATATACCACTACAATACTAAAACAACATCAACAACAACAACAACACCGAGAACAACACCGACAACAACAACAACAACAAAAACAACAAATATACCACAACAATACTAAACCAACATCAACAACAACAACGACAACAACAACAACAAACATACCACAACAATACTAAAACAACAACAACAACAACAACAACAACAACAACAACAACAACAACAACAACAACAACAACAACAATAGAGCAGCGAAGGCTATAGTCGCACGAGAGCCACACATGAGAGCCGCACGATAGGCACACATGAGAGCCGCATGAGAGCCACACATGTGTGCGTGGAGTAGCAGGTTGCATGCACGCGAGGTGACTAACTGTATACATCTTACGTCGTTGATCCAGCATGACTTCGGAGCGTCGTCACGAGGCGATGACTACCACGGCTACGGAGTCTCCTACTCGACGACCATCATCGTCATGTTCCAGACGTACACGGGCGTGCTCGAGGAATGGGACAAGGTCTTCTCCGTCAAGTGCGACAACGACAAGCTGCCGGAGAAAGTGCTCAAGTTCGGCCTCGAAGTTCCGTAAGTGTACGAGGGAGTTGGCACGGGGTAGCATTGGTAGCATTTGGGGTAGCTTGAACAGGTAGCATTTGGGTGATTAATAATTAATTATAATTTCTTCTAACAATTAATGTTTGAACAGGGACGTTCACGCGACGGTTGTGCCGACATACAAAGCGAAGATCCCGGATGTTTACCTGTCTGTTGTTGGTGGCAAGGATATGTACGGACCGCCGACTACTAGTCTTTATGTAGGAGAACGCGCTGCTCTGCTCATCATAGCTCATGATACGTGTAAGTAAAGCATGCAGGAAAGAAAGACGGAAGCAATAACATAGGTAGCGATAGAATGGGGGAAGTGAAAGCGAACGAACGAGGGAGCGTGTGGGAGAGAGATGTGGATGGAGTGTGAGAGATAGAGAGAGAGAGAAACGGACAGAGGCAGAGAGAAAGAGAGAGAGAGAGAGAGAGAGAGAGAGAGAGAGAGAGAGAGGCAGAGAGAAAGAGAGAGAGAGAGAGAGAGAGAGAGAGAGAGAGAGAGAGAGAGAGAGAGAGAGAGAGAGAGAGAGAGAGAGAGAGAGAGAGAGAGGAAGGAACGGCAGAGATAGGGTTCACTTCGTGTTAACACAACGATTATTGCCAGCGCGAACGAAATAACAAATTGAGATCTATTCATATACAATTTACTCGCTGCCCCTTTTATATTGGGTTTACGGTATTGCACATAGAATGAGTGACTTTATTCTCGTATTACAGCGTACTACGACATAAAAGTGGTGAACTGTTATGCACACGACGGAAAGAATAGACATAAGATTCTACTTATTGATAACAACGGGTAAGTTTGCCATAACCGTGGTGACACATAACCTTTAACGCACGCACGCACGCATGCACGCACCCACGCACGCACGCATGCACGCACGCACGCACGCACGCACGCACGCACGCACGCACGCACGCACACACACACACACATACACGCACATTATGCGCACACGTAGACCTACACACGCCTGCCCGCGCACGCAGGCATATCTCTGCATTATACTTGTGATATTGATGAAGGAAAACATAAGTATATGCATGCATGCTACTCTGTTTCGTACAGGTGTCCGGCTGCGCAAAAGATTATCGGAGCTGTACAGAAGGACACAGACCAGCCTGGCTACGGGAAGAGCGCCTACTATGCATACTTCAAGGTCAGGTGTAATAGAGATCACGAGGTAGTATAGGGGTAAGGGGGTCCTGAAGTAGGTTAGTGTCTAGGTTAGGTAGGGTTAGGAATGCGCATGTACCTATACATCGCCATAAGAGATCTATTTCTTATTATTTATTTTTGTTAGATATAGGAATTTCGCTGAACTTATTCCTTAATATGTCAAGTATTTTCATGTAACATGCAATTTTAACATCAGTCAATATCTTTTATGACATGTTCAATTTTGTCAGATGTGCACCGACTCGTATTTCTAAAATTCATGCCGCTTGCAATTGGCTGTGTCCGCTATGTCGATACACATAATAATTAGGTTATCATTTACTCCGCAATTACAGGCTTTCAAGTTTCCCGACAACAACAACGTGTACTTCCAATGTTCAGTGAGAATTTGTCATCAGCAATGTGATGTGGTAAGTCTAGTCTGAGCGTGGATCCAAAGCAGGGCCGTAAGCTATTCAAATTCCTAGGTGGGGGGGGGGCAATGATGAGCGACGGGCGCAGCTCTTGATAGACGTCCGTATAGTGTGGTAGGGGTGAGTCTGAGACAAGGCTTTCACGGATAAATGACCAAAAAAATAACGTTAGGGTCATTTACGATTATTAGCTAAGCTTATTTCTTAATTTTGCTCCAAAATCTAGGGAGGGCAGCTGCCTCCTTGCCCCCTCACAGGCTACAGCCCTGCATAAGGGAGGTTGTCCCGTGGGTTAGGAACCCTATTTTGTGACTGCAGGACTGCCTTTTATCCAATATGGGCAAGAATTCCTCCCAGTTGAAATAGAATAAAGTACTTCAAAACACAGTGTGTGTGTGCGTGCGTGCGTGCGTGCGTGCGTGCGTGCGTGTGTGTGTGTGTTTGTGTGCGTCTCTATGTGAGTCTGTGTGTGTGCGTGCGTGCGTGCGTGCGTGTGCGTGTGTGTTTGTGTGCGTCTCTCTGTGTGTTTGCGTGTGTGCGTGTGTGCGTGTGTGCGTGCGTGTATTTACAATGATAAAACACTCACGATCTCTGCAGCATTCATGTAGAGACAAATACGGCGGCAGTGGTTACGGCTCTGACCGCCGCAATGATGGCTACGGAAATGATGTATACGGAGGAGGAGGCGGTGGTGGGTACGGTGAGGACGACCGCTACGGATACGGCAGCGATTCAGGTGGATACGCCGACATACTCTACAGGTGAACGGAACAGGAACTGACTTTTAATTTAAAAGCAAACAATTAAATTTCATGCCATTATAACTAGTTGCCGATTGTCGAATACAAATTGCTAATCTGCATGTACGTTATCAAATGTCGGATTTCGACACGGAAGAACGTATTTGTATATATTCTCTTTACGCGAGTTTGTGCGTCTAAATTTTTATTTATAGTTCTTTTGAATATTTCTATGATCAAACGTATAAGCATGTTGATGCTGTAGGCCCCTACACTCTTCACGTATGCAAGCTTGTTGGTGTCATTTATGCTCAGCCGGTTCGCATGTCATTACATACTACCCCTCGCTCTTCCAGGCGCAAGCGGAACGTTGAGGACCTTCACCACGGTCTACCGGAGTTCTGGAACGGTACGGTATTGTTCGGTAACCATAGCGACGACTCGGCTGCGAACTTGACGGGAATAGTGGAGGACGAGAGGGAGGTGTCGCGTGGCATAACCATCGTCATGCCGGGAGAGGAAGAGGCCGAGATTACCGAACGTAAGCATACAAGCTAGCTGTTCGTTGCTACACGAGATAATTGACATACACACGGACGCTGACAGCTCTCGGCTTATATGTCTGTCAAGCTGTTCATTGCTGCATGAGATAATTAACATACACACGGACGATGACAGCTCTCGGCTTAATCAGATTCTGTCTGCCAACCTGTTTGTTCGTGCGTGCATCCATCCATCCATCCATCTACCCATCCATCCAACCTATATATAACCAACTACTCATTCAATATATATCCCTAACCCAGGCTATATAACTAAGGCAGGGGTTCTTAACCTGTGGCCCATGGACTCCTTTGGGGTCCGTGGATGGGCGTCAGGGGTCCGTGAACCAGGCGGATAAAAATTCTGTGTTCATGTGCTTATGTGCATTTTTCTGGGGAGGGGTCCGTAGCTTTCACCAGATTCTCAAAGGGGTAGGGGTGCGTGACTCAAAAAAAAGTTGAGAACTATTGCATTAAGGCATCAAGCGACCCGATACATAAACGTCTTGCGTTGAGTACACCGTCAAGAAAACCTCCTCCTATTTCTTCAGTGAAAGCGCACAACCGCTGGCCGGCGGAGGTGACGGGGGTCTGCGTGGATCGTGTTGCGCTGTACGGAGCCGCGGCCGGCGCCGGCAGCGTCATCGTAATCCTCATCGTCGCAACCGTCATCTTCTACTCGCGGCTGAACACGCTCCGTAACATGCAGCACCGCAAGCAGGCCGAAGACAGGATACTCGAGAAGAAACATCGCAGAATGCAGCGATAGTAGATGCACCTGTCCACTTCACATCGCATATACAAGACAGATGGATGGATAGATGGATGAATGGATGGTCATAAATTGGATGGATGGATGGATTGATGAATGGATATATAGTCACGTTTAAGATATCAACGGTGGCCACATTTAGAATAATGATGGTGAACGAACGAATCATCCACTACTGCCCCCGGTCAGCAAGATAATAAAAGGACCATGTACAATTGTATACGGTCTTTGATTATATATATATATATATAGTGAGAGAGCAAACCTACTACTATTATTATTATAAGTGTACAGTATTGCGTAGTGAATTAAGTCCTTCATATGTCCATAAGTTATGATAATATAAAATAAACCTGTTTCCATATATCATTTTATTATTGCTTTTACGAGTATACGTACATTTGTAATACACGGTTTAAGTATGGCGTCAATGGTTAGGTATGGGTTAATAGCTAAAACATTAAAGCATGCTATAATTGCAAACACTACATTCATATCACAATATTTGGAAATGTAGTTCAGTGCACTCAGCCATCAACGTATATAGTAAAAAACCTACTTAGTTCTTGAGCTCTGCCTAAAATATTAACATTAATCCAATAACCTGTACCCAACACAATTTACAACGAGGACCACTGTACCGTGCTTCCATCTGTACTGCACGTTTTAAAACATTGCTTTCATCAATTACCTAGATGCATCAAATTTTTACTGCAAATTTAGTTTTCATAACTATTTTCCAGACGTGCATTTTCTCAAGCGTTTGCGTTCGTGAGATATTCCTGCCAACAAGATAGTCTAAAATGCATGTTTTCGACAAATAACAGACGTGACGTGCTAATCACAGCATTCAATAAATAAGCAGTATTACTGCTAGAAATCAAACACACTAGGTATAAATTAATATACCATCATATAAAAACAGAAGTGCAGGAAAAGGGTTCGCAAAGGTTTAAACATCTTCATTCTATCAACTTAGGTTTTTGACTGCTGTTCGGTTTGGTCTTTCACCGATAGAAGTTCCTGAAGGCCACACACCAGGTTTAGTGGTAATGCACGATCTGAAATACATAAACCACCTCATGTTATAAAACCAGTCTATATCACAGGATCGTCAATAGGTTTACTGAAGAGGAGCAAACCTCAATGATGGAAGATATGCGAGTATTCGTTTTGTTTAAAATAAGAGAATAGTAGCTGAATAAACCTAGGCAGATGAGGCTGACCAGATATATATGAGAGACAACAGGCTTAGTCCCCTTAAAACAAGAGTTCAGAGCACCTCTTATTCCCTGTCGATTAAACAGATGTAAGAATACCTCAGTGGCTCTATGTGAAAACTTTTAAAACTCAGACGTCACACATCTAAAGACTTAGCCATTAGTGTAAAGGGCCGGACACACTAGGAGATTTTAATGCGATCTAATCGGGCGACTTTATTGCCCGATAATATCGCGCGATAGGAGTCGAGTGGACACATCACGCGATTTAGTCGCGCGACTGAAATAATCGCCCGATAATATCAAAACGTTTTGATCGATGCGATTGAATCGGGCGACTAAATCGGCAGCGACTGACTGGACACATTAGGCGATTTTCACCGGCGATTGAGTCGCCCGACTGAGTCGCCCGATAAAATCGCCTAGTGTGTCCGGCCCTTAACTGGTCCCATGCGACCTACGGTCACCTACCTATCTGCGCAGGGTATGGCAGCCCTAGGTTTGCCATTATCTGCTCGAACTGCTCAACCGTCTTTGTCAACCTTTTATTATGTGTACGTTCTTTTTCTACGGAGGTTACTGTTTGACCTGAAAACGCATTCAATGAACACGTGCCATCATAAGCACAATGCCTCACAACTTATCCAGCGCCATCACAATGTTACTGCCAACAAAGCTTGCAAATCAATTGAAAACGTTGTCGTTTGTTATCTGCTTCACCTACATTTGTGCCCAATCCCTTGTAGTTCAACATAGCAAGCTACTAATCTATGCATTTGATCTAGTTCCCTTGTGTGGTATTACGTGTATATATATATCCCTGTTGAACTCCACTAGTCTATTATATCAAACATTCGTTTATTGTGATTTAGAGTATATTGTCATGTAGTGAAACTTAGTATGAATAAATGCTAAATGATGCACATAGGCACACAGGCACATGCACACAGACACACAGACATACAGAGCCATACGTGTAATTATCGCAGTTGGTTTATATCTCTACATACCTGTGTAGTCATGAGCAGGATATAGAAGATACTCATTGGGCAGACTGAATATCTGCTGATGTACTGAATTGTAGAGTGTTCTGGGGTTACCTGAACATTACAAATACTTACTTACTAGGTGAAAAGCAAAACAAGTCAACTGACCTTTACTGCTACCACTTTTTCTTTTTTTATATCAAAATATTAAAGATATAGAATTGCTCAAATACCAAATAAAATGCTGGAAGGAAAAGCAAAGGTGAGTGACTGTGCAGACTGATGGTAATGCAGACTCTTTATAGTAATCTCTGTAAACTTGTATAGGGCAACCATAGAGACAATGCAGAGCATGAAACCCATAAATAAATGAAGAACATGGTAGAAATGTAAAAAAACAGCTTACCTTGCTGAAAGTCTGACCGACCACAACCTCGCACAAGCAATGCATCCCCAGTGAAAGCCATCATATACTGATGCAGATGCAGCACATATGTAAGGCACCCTATAAATACAAGACACTGCAGGTTTTACACTGTTAGAACATTAAGAAATCATACCTTAGACTTCACTTCGCTATGTGATGAAACAGTTGTAACAGATGCGAAAAGAGGAAAAAAGCATGTGCGTGCTCATACCATTTGTGTGTCCAGGAGTGGCTCTGACTTCTAGATTGAGCCCTCCAACCGACACCTTGTCTCTGTGTTTAACGTAAATGTCTGCTTTACCACCACTGAGCTCCGACAGAACACTTCTGCACTGCGGAAAAGTCTTCTCCAGCAATCCTGTTCCCGTCACATGGTCCGCATGTATATGTGTTTACTAAAATATACAATTTTTTGAAATATTGAATGCAAACACTACAGGTAATTAAACTTACATAAGAAATGCAAAGATATGTGAATAACAAAATAATTCTCATCTCATGTTGAATACTGCAGCAGCAGTATATATATATATATATATATCAAGAGCTAATAATATTTATTAGCTCTTCATATATATATATATATTAATTAGTGTAAGCGTGCAACAGTGGAGCCGCGAGGGCAATTAATTATTGGCGCTGGCAGCGTATATGGAATTGCACGTAGGATTTGGACGGAATTTACAGGAAACTGTCGGCAATAATAGGTGAAAGAGAGTATAGAAACATTATGAATTTGGTAGTAAATAGATTTCGTGTTTAGTTAGCATTATATTTTATTGAAACGCTTCAAGTGCCTGTGGCCGTCATGGGAACGTACGTGCACAACTTATGGCCGAGCGCATACGCAGTACATCGCTGTTAGCACGATAACCAGTCTATAAATAGGTCCAAGAGCTAGGTTCTGAATAGGTTCCAAATTCCAGCGTAGTTTTACCGTTCAAATTGGTACCTCGCACCGTTTCCGTGCATCTGCGCATGCTCAGTGCGATCGCTCGGTCACGACCAAAGCCAGGGATATTTGCAGGAGTAAATAATAATAGATTATATCAGGCGTGAATCGAGACAGGACTGAGCATTGGTTGTTTGATGCCAGCGAAATTGGTTGATAGTTTGCTGTTTGAAAATCCAGAGACATAACCTCAGTCATAGCAGGGCTGCCAACATTGGGTGATAGGTGAGAGTGAGATGCGAGGGAGCGAAGTGACCGAGGGGGGCGTGAGAGGGGGGTTTCCCCCCTCTCACGGTAGGAAGCTTTTCCATTTTATAACTTCAATTTGTGCAATTTGGTGCATACTAGTGACTGTTTTCAGATTTTTTTTTGCTGTGCATGAGATATTTCAGCGTTTTATTCTTGAAGGGATATTCATGCGTGAGATATCTCAGCATTTTTTTTTGCTGTGCGTGAGATATTGTAAAGGACCGGACACACTAGGCGATTAAATCGGGCGACGAAATCGCCGTGAAATCGCCTAGTATGTCTACTCAATCGCCGCCGATTTCATCGCATAGATCAAAACGTTTTGATATTATCGGGCGATTTTGTCGCCCGATTTCATCGCCTAGTGTGTCCGGGGCCGGCGATAAAATCGCCCGATTGTACAATTCATCAGCCAATCAGAGTTGTTCAATGATACTGACGTAATAGCGATGTTTCATGTTTAGTATGTCATGTCATGTAATAGCGATGCACGCATGCACGCACGCATGTGTACGTGCACACGCACGCACACACTCATGCACGCACGTGTACGTGCACACGCACGCATGCACGCACGTGTACCTGCAGGCCCGCGTAGCCAGCTTTACTATTGGGGGGTTCGTTTTTCAATGTGACAATTGCGTCGGCAGGGCGTGTACAGGATTTTACCAGGGGGGTCTAACCGTAACCCAAGTTGCGAACACGCGAAGAGGGGGTCTGGGCCCTCCCCAGAATTTTTTTAAATTACACCCTCAGATGCGTTTTCTGCGCGAGCAAGGGGGGGGGTCCAGACTCCCTGGACCCCCCCTGTACACGCCCCTGCTCGGGCGCGAAGCGACCAGGCGGGGGAGGGTGGGAGGGGGGTGTTCACTGTTCACCCTCCCGCACGATGGAGATTTTGCAATTATTACACTAAAATGGAGCGACCTGAGTGAAATTCTGCAATTAAAAAAAAAATTTTGCTTGGGGGAGCTGCGGGAGGGGGTTCGTTCGAACCCCGCCGAACCCCCCCCCCCCCTGGCTACGGGCCTGCATACAAATGCTCTTCAAGATATAGTCGTAGAAATAAAAATTTAATTAATGTTTTATCAACATATACCAACGAGTGCATATGTAGCTTATTAAATCTAGTTCCAGATAATTACACAGGTATAATTCTGTTTACTAGTTGAGTAGTTGTATAATTATACTGTGCCGAAGATGTGAGGCCCTGTCTATCCAGTCGCCAGCTCAGCACAATGTCTCGCTAGAAAACAAGTTGCATTGATCTCTAATAGGTGCGGAGGCCATTCTATGGTTATAGTTTCACTTCAAATCGACTGTAAATTTTACAAAAGTAAAGATCTCACTATCGAACTGAATATGCGTTTTCCGTTGTAAGTATCGTGTTATCTCTGTTATTTTATTACTTGTGACTTCATATAGTAGGATATACCAGGCATGGAACATCGTGATACCACGTATATACACGTGTATCTCATGCTTTTTCCGCATCTCTCTCATAATCAATATATCATTATTAATCAAGGGACAGTGTGCATTCATTATTTATCCCGAAAGAAAAGAGAACCTAATATTCTAAAATTATCAACCTTTTCTACTGCAATCCACGAGTTAGTCTGTCATTTCAAAAATTTGGGAGTTCTTCTTTTTCGGAGCAGCACTTTGTGTGAATCACTTTTGTTATGACTATGACAGGGCTGCAACTCTCACGCATTCACCGTGAGACTCACGCATTTTGACCACATCTCACGCTCTCACGCTGATCTTAAAGGGCCGGACACACTAGGCCAGGGGTGGCAAACTGCGGCCCTCTACGGGGTTCTGTGCAGCCGCAGAACTGCCAGCAAATAAAAAAATAAAAATTTTAAAATAATATTTTTTTTTTTTAAATCAATAAATTTTTGTGAAGTCAACATGTTTGTGATTGGACCGAGGCTGACTTTTTCAGTGTCATACAGATTAGTGTTCTATTGTCTCTGGTTCGCTCTGCAATGCCATTTCAGCTAATTATGGTCCAGAGATGGCACCCTTGAGGCGAAACGCACGTATTACTTAGAGCACACCGCCCGATTTAAAAAGTGTGGCCTTTGACTTTTCATGGCCACTGATGCAGCCCTCGCTTTGAAAAGTTTGCCCACAACTGCACTAGGCGATAAATCGGGCGATAAAATCGGGCGACAAAATCGCCGCTTCTATCGCGCGGTCGAGTGGACACACTAGGGATTAAATCGGGCCATTAAATCGCCGGTGAATAAGTCGTGCATGCATGTGCACGTAGACGTGCGTGCGTGAGTGCGCACGTAACCTGCGTGCATTCATGCGTGCGTGCGTGTGTATGTAAACGTACGTGCATGCGTGCGTGCCGTGCGTGGGGGCGTGTGCACGTATACGTGCGTGCGTGCGTACATGTGTGCGTGTGCACGTGCGCGTGCGTGCGTGTGCAATACACGTGCGTTGCGTGCGTGTGTACGTACCACGTGCGTGCGTGCGTGCGTGTGCAAGTACACGTGCGTGCGTGCGTGTGTACGTACCACGTGCGTGCGTGTGTACGTACACGCTGCGTGCGTGTGTACGTACACGTGCGTGCTGCGTGCGTGCGTGCGTCGTGCACGTTCACCTGCGTGCATGCGTGCGTGCGTACGTGCTGCGTGCGTGTGCAGGTACACGTTCGTGCGTGCGTGCGTGCGTGTGTGCATGTGTGCGTGCGTGCGTGCGTACGTGCGTGTGTGTGCAGGTACACGTGCGTGCATGCATGTGCACGTAGACGTGTCGCGTGCGTGTGCACGTACACGTTCGTGCGTGTGCAGCGTACACGTGCGGGCATGCGTGCGTGCGTGTGCACGTACACGTGCGTGCATGAGTGTGTGCGTGCGTGCGTGCGTGCAGCGCTATTCGATGACATACTAACATGAAACATCGCTATTACGTCAGTATCATTTAACAACTCTGATTGCTGATGAATTGTAAATCGGTCGATTTATCGCCGGCCCGGACACACTAGGCCGACAAATCGGGCGACAAAATCGCCCGATAATATCAAACACGTTTGTTGATCTATGCGATGAAACGCGGCGATTGAGTGGACACCTAGGCGATTTCAGGGCGATTTCATCGCCCATTTCATCGCGCGAGTCGAGTGGACACACTAGGCGATTAAATCGCCGGTGATAAGTCGTACATGCATGTGCCGTAGCCGTGCGTGCGTGCGTGTGCACGTACACCTGCGTGCATTCATGCGTGCGTGCGTGTGTATGTAAACGTGCGTGCATGCGTGCGTGTGTGCGTGTGCACGTAGACGTGCGTGCGTGCGTGCGTGCGTGCGTGCGTGTGCAAGTACACGTGCGTGCGTGCGTGTGTGCGTGTCTACGTACTACGTGCTGTGGTGCGTGCGTGCGTGCGTGCGTGTGCACTTACACGTGCGTACATGCGTGCGTGCAGGTGAACGTACACGTGCGTGCCTGCGTGGGTGTGTGCGTGCGTGCG